AGAACAAAACATTCGTAGCATTAGAGTGCTGTGCGGGTTTGTTGGGGTCATCTTGCACAGTTATTTTATCGCCTTGTAAGTATTGTACTTCGGGTTCGGAAGATAATTGAACTGGTCTTCGTATAAGCCTTGGATTAGGTGGTTCCCAAAGAAATAAATAATACGCACTTAGGACAATGGCTACGAAACTTACAGAGAACATGTAAGCCATCACAGTGACTAATCGTATTATTTTCTTGGTCCTTCGATTTTCATAGATATCCGTCTCCTTTCTCGAGCTTTCACCACCGCCAGCTCCTTCTTGAGGAGCCCCATCACTGTTTTCTTCCTTGCTCATCGTAATTTGAATTTTATTTGTATTATTGTATTAAACTCTGATTGAGAACTTATACTTCCCAGTGGATTTCTATCAGTTTTATACCCATTTCCCTAATTTTTCTTTTTATCTCCATTTTAGTTACAATTCTTCTTGCGTATCGTTGCCATCTTGTAGAAATATAAATTTACATTTCACAATAATTGTGGAAAAAAGTTCACCGAATCAAACACATGTGCAACCAAACAAAAACGTATTAGGCAATCTTCCGTTAGTACTTTATATTTTTCATTAATTTTTAATATTTGATTTTAAGTATGTGAACGTAGACTCTGTAGCCGGTGTTTAGTTTTCAATATATGCGAATTATTTGATATTTTACTTTTACATCTTCTACTAAGGTGGAAATGAGAAAAGGAAGACAATGTATCGTAGGACGCGCTTCGGTAGCGAAAGCACGTAAGACTGCAGTTCTGAATAAGCGTTCGTAGAAAAGCACCTTCCTTCGCCACGTGTTCGAATCACGCGCAAGCGTTCTTAAGTCGGTACGTATTGTACACGAGATTATTTTTTGCTTGGAATTTATTAAACCCCTGTTCAGTATTTCAGTAGTATCTAAAGATATTTTTATTGTAGTACGATGAACTTTATATTTGATCAACATTTCCACATATTTGTAAACTTAGATTTTGGATCATCCCAACTTTCATCATCCCAAATGGTAATGTCATCTTGCATTAACAGAGTTTCAGAGAATTCAGGATCCTCTTGTTCCTTTTTCGAAACTTCTTCCTTGTTTTGTTCGGATTGTAGCACTGATTTTTCTAATACTACTGTTTCTGACGATTTTGACTTTTTGTTTGTCCATGTATACATCAACCTTTCATTTTCTTCTATTTGATCGTGTGAAGTATTTTTACTGCAACGCGAAGATGATTGTTTCATATTATTACAGTTACATATTTCTAAAGAAGTATTTACAGCAACTGAATTTTTTCCAAACTGGTTGTTTTCAAAAGTTTTCACGCTACAAGCATCATCTGCAAGTTGCTTCGAAGGATTCTAAAAACGTTTGAAACTTTGTAATTAGATTAAATGCGTTTTATAGCTATGATTATTTACACAGGATAGAGAATTATTATACCTCGGGAAGCGAATTTGATCGCGACGATAAATTATGTGAATTCGATTCTCGAAATTGTCGAGAGTTTTCGTTGATTCGAGGATTTGCTACATACGATAAATTTGGGACACATTGCTGATTGCTCAAAATTGTAAAAATTTGCGTCAACAAGTCGTTTGAACCTTCGGAGCAAGGTATTGGAATTGTCGTTTGGATACTCTGTCGGGCAATCAATGAATTTAATGCCGGCATCAATGCCGGAGCATAAAGTAATACCGCAAGTCTGTCAAAAAGAATCGAAAATATGAAAAGGAACTAAAACTTTCATTTCTTATTTTAATGTTTATCCCATACCTCAACAATTGAATGGTAAAACTATTGGGATCTAACAAAGGATTCCACGTAGGAGATTGCACCATAGGAGTGTAAGCGGTATGAACGTTGCTACGTGGAGTTGGTATTTTCTTATGTATTTCTTTTTTCTGTCTCTGGATCATACGCGTAAATTGTCTGGATGAATCGCTTGTACAATGTGTTCCTTCATAGGATAACTTCTTCGCATTATTGTTCCAATAGCTGCGATTGCCTTGAGGTGTTTGAACACGAATATCAAAATTATCTTTTCGATGAACATCCGTATTTTCGAAAAATTTAGTTCTTTTGAACATACACTTTTCTTCGCAATTGGTATTTTGTTGCTGACAATGAAATGCAGATTGATCGGAAATATCGCTGTTAAACTTTGATCCCATTATAGGTCGAAATTCTGGTGTATATACAGCAGGTTTAGTCTGCGTATGATCTTCATGTTTAACATCGAAGTCAGTATAGTAGGACGTTTCCGGCTCATGTTTCTTGTCGAAGCTTTGGCATACTTCCATCGACGCCTTTATACATCGTTGATAATTATATTAGTTCCGAATCGTTTATAAAATAAAATTATATATTTTGCAACATTTAATTAACTTTAGCTCGATAAAGAACCTGTTATACGATCTTAATACCTTTCGTGTTTCAGGGGGACCGAAATGTTTCCTCGATTTACCAAAAATCATTTTCGAATGATCAGAATCACATTTATCTACAGCTTTATGAATCTCGTTATTTGCCTATAAAGAGATATATTAGTAACATAGTATTTCAAATTATTAAAATTTTTATATATCTTGATACGCATACTTTAGAATTTGTCGTTTTGTATCTCGACGAATCAATCAATTGAGTTGAATCCTGTGGAAGTATCATAGCAATATTGTGCATCGAACAAACTGCTGTTGAATTGTTAATTAGTATCCTTGATTGAAAGGAGGTGCTATCAGGCTCCTTTATAGGATAAATATCATTCTGTAAATTCTGAAAGAACATACAAGTGCAAACAATCATGTTTCAACTTGTTGATTTTTTAGACGAATACCTGTGAAGATTTTCTGTATTTCTTCCAATCTGTATCATCAAAGGTTTCATTAATTGAATCTTTATCTTTTTTCATAGTGTGACGTTTCCTTCGTGATGAAACGTTAATTTGTTCTTGATTCTTTTTGTACTGATTTCTTGGAACAGTTCCAAAAAAGTGTCCGTACTTTCTAAGGGAACGATGTTTCCAATTTACATCTGTTTGCGACTTTAGAAGAATGAAATTAAACATGAACGAAAGAATATTAAATTCAAAAAATTAGTAAAATGGTAGATGATGAAAATACCGATTGATGTACGGCATTGGTATTTCGTGTTATTATAGGGATTAATGTTTTCATTCTTGTTAATTCTCTTTCCATAATTAGATATCTTTCTTTCATTTGTCTGATATATTCCAATAAATATCGATTAGGTATATTCTCAGTATTACTAAAGCATAATTAACAAGTTATTTTATGTTTCCTCTTGACAATTCATTTCACTTAAGAAATTCAATTTCTTGTTTGTACTAACGTTCGGAAACATAAATTATTTGGCTGGCCATGGTCATTATCTTCGAGAAGAATAAAATTTAAATCAAACAAGAATCCGTCGTTCCTTAAAGATGGTATATTTACTAATTCATTAAATGATATCCCATGTCCTTGATTTGCAGAAAGTCGTCGAATAAATTCATTACGTCTTTGATTGCGTTGATTATCCATAAGTTCCAAAAATATTTGTCGTCCAAACATACTTGTTAATTTTGTGTAAAGAAATTCACAACAAATTTTGACGAATTTGTACTATAATTACAATTATTTTGTATAATCTTTCATATAGGTTGTGTTTTCCATTGTATGTTCATCTTTTTTTGGGGGC